CACTCACACATTCTCAAAATTCCAGACATACCAGTACTTCCGGGAATGGCCCACCCCCGCTGGTGTGACCCCGCCCCTGCTGGCATGATCTCCCATGCACAGTGTGTGTGAGGTCATGCCACACCGGGAAAGCCATTTTGAAGAGCGTGCTGCCCCGCCCCCACCAGTGTGACCTCACACACACACAGTGAGTGCGAGGTCATGCCTATGGTGGCCGAGTGGTGCCTATCAAAACAAAATACAATAGTGCACGCACAATGCTCTCCCTGGGGCCAGATGTTAGTCACATCTGCAAGGACCTCAGATGCGATGAAGGCAGTATAAGAACATATATAGAATTGGTCACAATGTTTTTCAAAATAGTTAATTTTCCTTTCATTTAATTAATCTCATTATTCTTAATGAAACCCTTTTGTAGCACCCTAGATAATCTTTGCCATTGTTGGTGTTTACACCTTTTAAATATTTGCATATAGATTCCAGTTCCCTCTGCTTAGTTATCACTTGGCCAAACTAAACATGGTTAGTTTTTTCAATTTATCCTCTATCAATACATCCTTATGTAGATCCCAGATCATTTTTGTTCCTCACTTCCAGTTTCTTGGAATCTTTCTGACACTGAAGTCTCCAGAAGCGAATACAAGGGGCCCGATTCTCCTTTCACTTACACCTGAATAAATCAGGAGCAATTCCATTGAAGCCACTGGAGCTGGTATGAGATGAGAATTAGATTCAATATTTCTAGGCATGGTCTCAACCAACAGAGCCATATCGGCGAGTAGCGGTCCATTTATCGGGGATAAGACGCGATATACCGATCCCCGAACGCGCTCCCCGTCGACTCCGGAACTCCACCGGAGTGAGCAGCAGTAGCGGAGTCGACAGGGGAGCCACGGCCATCGATCCCGCGCCGTGTGGACCCCAGGTAAGTCGATCTAAGATACGTCGACTTCAGCTACGCTATTCACGTAGCTGCAGTTGCATATCTTAGATCGATCCTCCCCCCCAGTGTAGACCAGCCCAGAGAAAGAGACTATTAAATCGAGGTAGCACAAGTTGATGCCTCTGAATATGCAACCCAAAAATCATATTATCGCACTCTTTAAAGGGGTTGCAATATTTAGTGCCCAATCCTCCACACAGGCAAAATGCCCATTGAAATTAGGAGATTTGTTTGCATAAAGTGAGGTCAGGATCAGGCACTTTTTGTCCTCCAGAGGTAACAGACAGGAAAGAAAAGACAGTGAAAACTGACCATAAACCCCCCAAAAGCTGAACAGACAGAGTGAAATGGAGAAATGTTGAGTCAATTGCTGCACTGACCTGAGGAATGTTAAGGAGAAGCTGTCTGGGGATTGATGTTGGAAGAAATAAGACATCTTTCCAAACTATTTCATTTCAAATCTCTCAGCATTTTTGACCAATGCATGTTATTTCGTTTGTGTGGGACTCTCCAGGACAGCACACCCATTTGAATGCGTAAACTATTTTGAAATGTTTGTATAATTTAATCCAAAACCATGACTATATGTTTGTGTTTTAATTTTGAACAGTAGGGTCCTAGGCCTCAGCCACATGCATCGTGTCAGATGCACTGTATATATTTAGGTTGTACTAGCACAACTTCACCCGGGCTGGCCATATCCTTCTACTCATCATCATTTAATGAGACACTTCAGATTGTCCAAAGTATCAATCTGTAACAATGCCGTTGAGAAACAATGAGTCTGATTGTGATCCCATTTATACTTGTGCAAATCCAGAGGAAACCCACAGAAATCAATGGCGCAGCTTCAGATTCTGAATCAATATTGATTGCCAGGGTGGGCAGCGATTTTTCTGAAACTCTTTGTAAAAAAAAAAAAGCAAAAGCCCTTTGGGGGAAACCTTTGCTCTAATCCGTGTTGTTTGAAATGTCTTTCAGTTATTAATGTTCTTGCTGAAGTTGAGCATTAGTTCCACTTTACTGAGAATATATTGCAGCTGCATTTTTTGGATGGAAATACCACCAAAAATATGTTAACCATATAGTCAACGGCTATGCCTTGTTTCAGAGTAGCAGCCGTGTTAGTCTGTATCCG